ATAGACAGCCAGATACATCACACATACACACACACACACACACACACACACACACACACACACACACACACACATGAGTGGTTTGTGTAATTATGGCTTGACACAGCATTAGTCCAGAGACATGGTTGTCAGTGCCCCCAACACGTAGAAAAAGCATAAGCTGACATATTTCCATATGTGTCTTGGTTAATCAATAAAAATTTTCCATACAATTACATATACAATATTTGTTTTTAAAATCTGCATGAAGATGTTGTTTCTGTCCTCCTCCCAGAAGAATAAGAAAAATGTTACAGAGTCACATTTTCATTTGCAAAATTTTGGAACTATCTTTTTGGAAATAATATGAGATACTGTAAATGGGCACACTATATGGGAATGAGCCTTTTCGTTATGAACATATGCACTACAAAGCACAAAGAATTTCCTCCCAGCAATTCTCATGGGTATTTGTATGCTTTAAGTAACTTACTGTAAGGTAGGTGAAGTCCTTTATTGAACTGCATTAAGTCTCAAGAGATATTATAAAACACCCATTTACAAAACTACCTTTCTCATTCTCACCATTTGTTCCTGTATGAGGTAAAAGAACACAACAAAGAGGAGGTGTCCTTTCTTGGCAACCCATCAATATTTGTCAAGATTGCATATCTGGATGATAGGTTTCCTGGCATAATTCAAGTTTAGTAATGATTCAACAATGATTTTACATGCACAATATTGCACCATCGCTGAAGTGGCTTTGCAATCCAGAAAAAGTACAGTGCCTCTTTCTTTGAAGGTAACTGAACAGACAGTGGACTGATGGCTTCTGGTGTGCAGTGGAACAGTAGTTGAAACAGTTATTCTTGAAGGAGTAAGTAGGCTGATGGAGTCTAACCTCTCAATGGTATACTGGCATTTAATAAAGGAGTTGAAGCCACCCAAAAGCCGAGAAGAATAGGAAGCTGAATTCCAAAAACACCAGCAATTTCCAGAATTTAAAATCCTGAATCATGAGAGGACACTGGAAGAATTCAAATTTATCTGGTACATGGAATACTTGCACCGAGTGTGAGGTCGAGCTGTAGGCCTTGCGAACATCCTACTTCACAAATGAGTCTGTCAGATATGCTAAGCCTGTAGGCCGAAGATGACACCCCAGTGTACAGAGAAACCTCAGGTGACTGTCCAGGAAGCTGGCTGTTTCTGTCATAACTCATTTTTTTGAAGTCACTTGTTTGTACTTCCTGTTTTACAAGGTAATATTATTTCCTTCTCAGGTCTCTGAGGGAGTTGAAAATTAGATAGTTGTATTTATAGTTCTCCTTGTTAAGAAATTCAGAAAAGAAACTAACTAAGAGGTGTTAAATGTGTAATGTTGAAAGACATCATAAGATAGTTTTCTGTTGGTAATATAAGTTAGGATAGAAAGTGAATTAAATACATTTTGAACTCACCAAAACAGGATGCAAATGAACTGGACATTGTGATGTATTTATTGCTTGTATATATTGTATACAGTTATTGTACTTACTATATATAGTCTTTGTCATATTACTTATAACTTTTTAAAAATTTTGAAAAAAATTTTATTAGACAAAAAAGGGGAAATGTGGTGATATTTTATTTGTGCTTTGATAAATAAAAATTGCCTGGGGAATCAGAGGGAAAAGAAAGCCATTATAAGTAAACAAAGAAGTCAGGCAGTGGTAGCACAGGCCCTTAATCCTATCACTTAGCAGGCAGGATCTCTGTGTTCAAGGCCACACTAGGAAACAGAGCCAAGTGTGGTGACACATACCTTTAATGCCAGTATCAACCAGAGTTCTGGAGGCCTGTACAGATAGGAAGTGATAGAGTTGGCCAGGAAAATAAAGTGATGTAGCTAGACACAGAGAAATTAACAAAGTAATTCAGCCCATGGGCTCTCTACAATCTGTAATTCCTTTGCCTATTTTATTATCCACGATGGCCATAAATTCTAGCAAATGCCTGATTATAGAATCAGCCTTTTCTGAACTCAAAGCAGTTGCCCATTGAAATCCTGAATAAGTACCAATAGTGTGGTGTACATATTTCACAATTCAATATTTTAAAGGGGAAGAGGGAACTGCAATCAAAATAATTCTTCAGTGAGTAAGAACAACCCACCTTCCAAAAATAAAAGGGGGAAAAACCCAGATGAACATAAAAATCTCTCGACTGAAGTGTTCTGGAAAATTAATTGAAGAAAGGTTTGTTATTGCATTTACAGTAGTTACAAACATCCTTGTTTGCTGCTTCCATATTTCCAACTAAAGTTCATCAAAATGTCCTGATATAAGCAGTTTTTCATTTGCCAGCAACCATTCTACTTGTTCCAAAACTGCATAACAAAGGTCCAAATATATACAAATTAAATCAGCACAGTTAATATATATATACTATGTAAAAGTATAGTTATTATTCTACAATGGTTTCATAATACAGCATGCCTTTCCAGGCAGCACATCTTAAATCAGGATGCATCTATTTTGATTAATTCATTGTGTCTTAAGAGCATGAACAGGTACAATTCAGAAATTCATAATTAATTCAGCTATTTATTTGTTTGGAGAGAGAAGCAGCATCAGCAGGGACACCATTAGGAAGTGCTCGGAGGAGAGGGAGGAAGAAAGAGAGGCAGAAAAGGATGGAGATCAAGGGAGAGAGGGAAGGAAGGAGGGAGAGAGAGAGTGTGAGACAGATTGCAATAAGCACAGCCTCAATCACAGATACCACCACAAGAACAAAACAGATACTAGCTAGTCTCTTTCTTGGAGAAGCCTAAGTATGTATCACTCATGTAATGAGATGTGCAAAGGAGAATTTTAAGTATATTTTGAACCCAGGGTCCACTTCTGAGCATTTTATCTCTATAAGCCTCACATTTCACATGTTAATTTTACAATCAAAATTCTTCAGAAGTACTACTTTGATGAAAATAAGAATAAAAAACACTAATTTGTAGCATTAAATAAATACCTAGGAATTTTATCTCAGAGATTTCCCTTTCTAACATATCCAGAGAGATTGGAATTATTCAGGAAGGAAACTATTTGACAAATCATCTTGAGACAGAACTAATCTCATTTTTGATATTCATGAATGAGTATGATTTTTAGCAAGGATGGATCTGCAGCAGTGGATGCACCAATTGATGTCAATCACATTTGTGGTCCCTTGTAGCCATGAAAACCTGTTCATCGCCTGTGGCATACAGAGTCCCTGTATAAGTACAATGCCACTTTAACAAGACCCAGATGTTACCATTCTCAGGCAGGAACAAAAGTTGCAAGAATGCCATGAAAGGACACAGCACCTAAACCTTGTCATTCTCTAGCCACAGAAATAATCACAAAGGCAAATAACACAAAGACCAGGAAGTATGAACAAGACATGCATCTCTTACAAGTTTTGTACTGAGTTCAGACAGAACATGGTATTGTTTAAAGAATAGCAAGATACTATGTCAAGTTCTTCAACCTTTCTTTATCCAAAGCTCTTAACTGCAGATGTATAGGCACAGGGGAACTGGTTCTTTGAGTGTTTCTGTTTACTCTCAAGAGGACTTGTGGTAGAGGTTTAATAAAGTCATATGTATAATTAATGGAAACTTTGATTTCTTAGAAACTGTAGATTATGTCTTTGTGTTAGCGACCTTAGTTTTCTTCATAACTGCTGAAAAAGAAGTGTCATTTTGGAATCATAGTTATTGCTTTCGGAGATATTCTGGTTTGGATTCAGAGCTAGGACTGTGAGTAGAGACTTTTAACTATGAACAAATGTTAAAGATTTAACTGAAGTAAAAGTCATATGATCAACAATATGCATATGAAATAATTTCTGTGTTTCCATTTAGCAATAAAAAACACAATTAATTTTGAATTGTGTTTCTCCACAAAGATCCTGTAACTATTTTATCTCAATTACATTTAAAAATTCGAAACACTCCTTAGAGTATGAAAACTAGTTTAATTTAATATGATAAATTTGTATCCTTTAAATTTAAAAATGAGTTATGGTAGTTTTCTAAATGTTAGTCTCACTTCCATGTTATCTTTGAGATGCAGAGAAAATGCCTCTGCACTAATCTAACTGTGTTGTCAGCTGTTGAGGATTTCATTCTGTCTCGCTAGCTCCAGATTAAAAGTTAGACTTCCAGAATTTCCCATACCACCAGGGCCTCATCATTAATTAACTACATTAGTATATTGGTTTACATTTAGGCTTATATAATGGTTTTAGTTACTAAAGTAGGTGTGGACATGAGTATCCACATAAACAAATGTGTGAAACATGAGCCCTCTTTGGTTGTGTTAAGTAATATGGTGGAGCTGGCTTGGTTCACAGGAAATAATAGTATTTATCCCTCCCAAGTTTGTTTTCACCAAGGTCACAGTTGTTAACTTGTTATCAGCTATGGTGGTATAATTTACACCATGCAAATTGGAAAATGCTAAAAATGAGGTGCTTTGTATTAACTAGTTGATAAAGGTGGTACACTAAAGACCCAAGTATCATCCCAGCATCTTGAGGTTTTAGCAACTCTGCTTTCTGCAGTGGAAGCTCTGAAAAGCTGCAGAGGACCTGAGCATCTGGGATACATTTGGTTATTGTCACCACGTTGGGGTCTACTCTGAGACATGTCTATTTTGTAGCCACATAAGTGATACAGGACAGAACCAACTCTGTAAAACATTGGAATCCCTCAGGATATGGCAGCTGACTTCCTGCTGTGGAGATTAACGAACAATGATTTCTCCATATGAACAAGTTATCCTCAGGTGAAAGCACCCAGCAGGCCATTCTTTCAGGAGGATCTGCACACTGTTCTGCATTCTACTGTTCACAGGCAACTGCTTGCATGCAAGCAGGCCTGGATTTGCCACTGCCGCATCCTGCCACCAGCCCATTAGCAGGTTTCTTTTGCTTTCCCCTTCCATCCTCAAAGTCTAATACAATCAAACAGCCAAGAAAATAGGTCAATGGCAAAAGAGTTTGCAATTTTGAATGATTTTTATTAAACACCATTAGTCTACACTGCACAGTTAATGAAACAGCAAAGCTCCAATCTCAGAAGAATGATTGACCATGGATCTGAAAAGCAGTTCAGTGTCCCCTAACCCAGTGTGAGCACTATGAATGATTCTTTAACATTTTATGTCAGAAGCAGGAAGGGACATGAACTGCAGTCTAGCCTCCAAGGGCTTTCCCACCCTCCACCCTCTACCCACACCCCCCTCTGCCCTCCCCACAATGTGATTTTCTTTTTGTTAAAAGATTACAGAGAAAAAAATGTGATGCTTTTGGTACAGAGGGCTTCTAGATTCATGAGGAGGGGAATGGAAAGGGAACTAACACTTTCTCTTTTTCTGGAAATATCAGATGGTAGGATTAACTTCTGAGACCAGCCTATCAGATTAGTCCCCTCCCAGGGTAAATGCTGATTATCAATACACAGATGCCATTTCTGTCATTGGAGTTTGCTAACACCGGAGAGAAATGAATCAGAGTTTAATTATGAGAATAAGGCTGTGTGAGTGGAAATGCAAAACAACAGCAACGACAAGAACAACAATGACAAAGAATTGAGTGCCAGTTGTAATAGGACACTGACAACTGGTTCAATATTTTTCCCCACAGAGTTGAATTTGGGGGCACTGAATCACCCATTTGTTTGGTATTGTGTAGCTGTTTCAACTTGCCACACATTTTTTTCAATGGGGATAGTGATGCTTCTGTAAGCAAGCAGTTCATTGCTTTACTGAGTAGTCCTACCCGGCGATCCAGTTTGATTGTCCCACCTGCTAACTTATGCAGGTGAATTTTATTATGTCTGTTGAGAAGGAAGTAAGGGCTTCACCCTCACAACTTAATTGAGTCTGCCTTCAAAAGTCACTTTCAACTTCAAACTCTAACTTCAACCTCCGGGATCCAACTTTGGATAAAACAAAATCCAATTTAGATAGCTTCAGGTACAGTAGAACTAGCATCTTTCCAATGCAGACCAAATCCAATGCGTTTAACCATCCATCCACTTGAAAACTCAACAAAACACATTTTAGATAATGGCATCTAATTTTGCTACTTTTGACTAAAGATTTGGATCTTTTCATTTCACTACATGAAAGCAAAAAGATATCTCAGCCTTAAGTCTTTAAAATGTCGCAGAAGCTAGTCTGCTTTTTTTAATTATGTCATCTGAATATAAAACTACTAGTTTTTTCCAATGAGATTATTAAGCAATTGACAGTCTACAGGCTGGCTAACAACACGCTTATAGGTAAATTCTACCCCAAGGATCACACTATCAATCTCTTTTCAAATTAATCCTACCTACAAAACTCAGATAGTAATATGACAAAACCACTAAAAAATCCAAAGTTAATTAAAGATACAAAGCCAAGCCAACATCATAACACAAACTTGTCAGACTCTCTGTGGTTGGAGCTTGTGTGATAAATGAAGGCATAGTGCTGGCCCTCCTGGGTCATGTTGTAGGGCTGTGCTTGTTTCTTGTATTTGCTTAGGTGCGGGGGCTACCTATTACTCTGCCCATCACCACACCTGTAGAGACTTGTTTGGCTGTGACTCACCAAGCCTCCACCAATATCAAGAGGCACAATCTGTCACTGCCATCCACATTTCTCATATCCCTCCCACTTAACTGGTACACTGAAGAGATTCCCTTGAAAAAGTCCTCAATCTTTCAATCCTGAAGATATCTGCATACCCATGATGCACATCACCATTTGTAGTGTGATGACCAGAGTGCCTAGAAAACAGTAACAATTCTTAATTAGGAAACCAGAGACACCCCATCTCCAGGGATAGGAAGATATTTCATTCTTCATGTTTAATTGATTTCTAAGCTATGTTACAAGTGGGTCTACTAAATAATCAGGTGGTGATCCAGAGCTTGACTGTCCATTTGATAATCATCGTGCTGACATGATACTTTATGTTCAGCCACCACAGATGACAGAGCATCCTCTTGCCTCCCTGTTGTATATAAGAAGATAAAATGAATTATGGAAACCAGAGCTACAAGTCTTTCACCTATGTGTCAATATGCTTGTTTCTATGGAAAACTGCCGTACCACTCTAATTTCTAGTTACTGGAGACTTAATTTCAAAAATAATCTGTGTGTAAATCTATGATGGTCTAGGATCATGGACTAGGTTTAATTTACAAGTCAAGCAAGTAGGCATCATTGTTAAGTAATAGCCAGGAAAGTTTCCTGGTAGGCCAAAGAAAATAGAGAACTTGAGTTACTGCAAAGACATCAGCTAATTTTTTTTTCAAGTGACAACCATTTGGGGTGTTCTGTCTTTCATGTTTTCATTTTCCTCACTTAAGAGGCACAGAAAAGGTTTAGATTTCATTTGTGTGTGTACATATGTAAATATTGTTGCTGAAACTGTAGACTTAAAGCTCAACCACACTGGGAGCATAAGAAGTGCAGGCTTTAGCTGCAGGGGTGCACCCATCACCTGTAGAAACAGCTTGGCTTTAGCCATTGGAATGCAACTTCCATAACTTTATTATACAACAAAGGGCCTTCAATTCAAATATGATCAGAGCAGAACTGGGAAAGTACCTAGCCTTTCCAATGAGAGTACAGAGTGATTGCCTGCTGTTCTTATCACAGAGCTGCATGACTCACTTTAGAAATCATACAAGTCTGCATCTTTCATGTACATATCTATTGTTTATCTGGTCATAACTCAGTGAACAGAATTCAATAACTCAGCAGATTAAAGGTTACATGGAATTATATGCCAGCAGGCAATTACAAGTAACTAATGAACGCATAGTGTTTAGTATAGCTGAAGAGTTTTTCTGGTGAGCTGGAACACTGAAGATGATATTTACAGGGTAATGTTTAGAGACATAAGATGAATGTAGAGGATAAGAAGGAGAGATAGTCATAACTCATAAGGAAATGCTCCAAATTAGGAGAACTGTTCCCAAACTTCAGGAGTATTTCCAAAGATTCCAGGGTGAAGCACTACTTCAGGATTTTTGTTTTTTAAAAAGAAAAGTTAGGTCTTACTTAGAGAGTTAAGTGTTGTCTTTCAACTTTTCATATAAATGATTTATACTAATATAAACTTTAATAAAAATCAGTGATTGTATTTTAGCCAAGAGCTCCTGAAAGAAATAACAAAAGAAAGGGGAAAGAAAAAAAGAAGTTCTAGAAAATATAAAATGTGGATAATATTTGGAAAGTACAGATAGAGAGGATACTAGGAAATTAATTCTAGGAAGTAGTAACATGACTTTTGATTTCACAGATTTGATATGCAAATCTATCATAGTACTTGAAGGTAAGGATTTGCCTACTGGCTGCAAATGAGGCAGAAGCATGGATTTTTTTGAGGGACATCTTTCAGGCCAGTCTGATTCCTCAAGTCTAAGACGAATGTGTTATTTTGATAACTAAGATATGCATCTGCCAAACTGCTCCTTGTAAAGGGAACTTCGCACAAATAATCCCAGGTGAGGAGTTAACCTAATGACATAAAGTTATCCAAATAAGTATTACTCCTCCTTCTCACCATTAAAATAGTAGAAAAGTAGGTAATCAGGAACAGGATGTTAACAAAAGAGTCTTCTGGTTGTGTCACTGCAAGAGTAGAATTCTTATGCTTGTACTTTTCTTGCTACTCTTCACTTTATACTGTAGTTAAAACATCCAATCTGTGGGGTTTGACAATGGAGATTCTCACCTGAAGATTTAGTCTGTGGGAAGCACAGATATTGTTTAGCAATGGATTCTGAAATACATTCTTTTCTGGACCCAGAAGTATAGTTTGGGGAATGGCTACTGCCAGAATCTCTGCAGGTCCCTTGTTCATGTGTATGTTAGACCTCTTGTTTGAGTTCTCAGGAGCCTCTCGTCATCACATGTGCTTCTCATTCTTTGTTTTGAATCATGTGGACTTAAATCAATATTATAGGGATTTTCATTCCATAAAGCACAAAAATCATGAGATATGAGAAACACATATCAAATATTGAAAAATAAAACATACACTTCTCTCAAGTTGTAGTGTCCACTAACAATGACTTCATTTTTTCACAAATATCAAAAATGCATAAAAACAAACATAATGAAAGAGAACTTTCCCAAATGAGTGGAGTTCCACCAGTGACCATCAAGGCACTGGTAAAGGTAGGGGAATGGGTGCTGATTCTAGATTTGGGAGAGCACCCACTACAACAAATGGGCATCGATGCGCAGCCAACACAGTCCCTGGCGAACGTAGCGGACAAGATTGGTCATGCTGCTGTGCTGGGTCAGAGGCCCCATCAGTGTATCCAGATCGCCAAAGAATTCTGAAAATCAGAGCAGCACTTGGTCAAGCCTTTATTTAACATCATGGAACCTATGCACCAGATTAAAAAGCTATAGTTAATACCACAATCATGTGGACACTGAAAGATTTATCCATTTGTTCATTAATCTATTTATCTACTCTTTCATTCAACCAAAATTTAAAGGGCTTATTAGGCAACCAAAGTTATCTATCTATCTATCTATCTATCTATCTATCTATCTATCTTTATGAAATTTATATATACTTGTCTTTATTATGTGTGAATTACATATATATAATATATATATAATTGGTATATGTTTATTGAACTCCAAAAGTTTGATAATACAATGTTAGTGTTCTTGTGTTTAGTGAAACAAAACTCATTTAAATCTGTTAATTCATGCTAAGTACTTTTTATCACTATATCCTTTCTCAAACAGCATGTTCTGAAAATGCATTACCATCCTACAGAATATATATATATATATATATATATATATATATATATATATATATATATATATATATATATATATACATGGATACATATTTCTGTAAATGTATGAAAATATACTATTTATGTAAAATGTACATAAATACATAAATGTAGTTGAATATTTTAGAATATATTTATATCTTATATATTACAGCTTTATTTTTTATGAAAGCTTTCTTATGCAGTATAGGTCATGATAAGCATCATGATTTCTCTAATGTAAGAAGAATTTTATTTATATGCTATTAAATTGAAAATATATTTTCTTTTGATCCAAGTGAACTGTTTTTTTCTGACTTTTATTGGCAGAGTATAGAAAATGCCAGTGAACCTGAGCATCAATTATGGACATTGTCATCCAGAGCTAAATAAATGTCTTGGAAGAATCTGAGGTAGGAAATTTTGCTACTGATTTCATAGGGGTAGAAAATGACCTGCAAGGATCCAGCACATGACAACTTGTACCACACTCTTGAGCATGATTACTTCTAGCTGACTTGGGAAATGGGATAGCCCTAAGGCTACATTACTAATTACTCACCTGTGTGACAAGAGTATTAGAATGTCTGCCTTGGGGGAGGAGTATATGTGGGAAAGACTGTATGATGTCTGAAAATTCCCTAGGTACCCCTTTGCTCCACTTTACTTGTCTGATAGCTTGTCCCAAGAGGGCTCACTGGCATTTTTTCTTGTTAGTTTCCTACAGGGAAGGCAGCCTCAGCCTTGAACATGAAATCATGCCTGTACTGGATGAGAATAAGGAATCCAAATCCAGGGCAGGGGTGGGACTAGAGACAATCCTAAAGTGACTAAAATGCTCTTCTGCCTTCTTAGAAATCAAATTCTGTGCATGGATTACATGTACTTGATTGCTCAGCAAATGATAATTCACTGAACAAAGCATTTATTCTTTATGTTATATGTAACATATGGGCTGCTTCTCCAGGTATTAACTTCATTTGATTATGTGATACTTTTTAACCTGGGCAATGTAATAAAAAGAATTTCTGCCAACAAAGGAGTAAATTACTTCTGGCATCTAAAATATTTTCTTTGGAAATACTATACTAAGGAAAATATTAAAGAACTAGTCATTGTTGAATGAATGTCAGCTTTATGTGAGGTAAGATATCCTCTGAATATTCTGTGAAAAGCTGTCTTTGGCATTTTAAATTAGATTGCCAGTTCATCATTTTAATGACCACTTCAATGGAGCAATATATGTAGCTGGGGCAGGTAGGGAGTAGGGCCTTTTGATCAAAGGGCAGAGAATAGCATCAACCATTTGGCATGTTTCAGCACCAGAACCTTCTGTAATAAGCTATCTGCAGCTGCAGGAGTGGGCAAGCAGTGACAGGGATAGAGGCTTTCTACAAAAATAGCCAACACTGTCCATATCCATAGCACAACTCTCTGTGAGAAGGTCTATGTCCATAGTTGCCTGAGTGGGATGTAGTTTCTATCCAAAGAGAAGCTCCTGAGTTATGTAATTTCTATCTATACAAGATAGATGTTAGAAAAATCATCAAATCCAAGCAAGTCATAAATGACATGTGTGCAGAGCTAAAGGCTGTAAGCACAAATTTCCAAATTAGAGTCTCTTCTTAGCCCACTGAAAAGGCCAGTGACAGCATCACCAACATGTGTTCTCTCTGTTGGTACAGTGACAGTGTTATTTTGATTCAGTATTAGGCAGAGAATTTAGTAACTCTTTGGCAGTCTGTGCTAATGACAAGATTAGCACTTTTTCACCCTAGCATTAGCACAGTCATCACACTGCTCCTGGAAAGTTCTCCAGTTAGTTTAGAAGAAATTACTTGAACAGATTTTGAAAGTGAATGCAATTTTAAAAGGAAATTTGTAAATATCAAACCTCCTTCCAATTACCAATACAAAGTAAGACAGATTAGAACCAGATAAACCAGACAGATCTCAAGATGCCGGTGCCTTTGCTCACAGTTATAGAGCCTTTGTGGGGGCCTAGTTGTTTAGGCAAGTTGTATCTGGTTTTCCAGAAGTCTAGGAAAGGAAAGTCTACATAAGAATTGCCTTTGTTCAGATAGATTAATTTCAGTTTTTTACCAAAGGTCTCTAAATACTTGCTACTAAATATACTTTCTAGATAGTAGAGTAGTCTATTTATTGGTTTGAATTCAGATTCTAGAATCTGATACTTTGACAAAGTATCTGCTTCTTCTAGCAAACTTAATGAGCTCTGATAACAGTGGTGGCACATGCCTTTAACCCCAACACTCCGGAGGCAGAGGCAGGTGGATCTCTGTGAGTTTGAGACCAGCTTGGTCTACAAAGAAAGTTCCAGGACAGCCAAGGCTACACAGAGAAACCTTGTCTCAGAGAGAGGGAGAGGAGAGAGAGAGAGAGAGAGAGAGAGAGAGAGAGAGAGAGAGAGAGAGAGAGAGAGAGAGAGCTCTGATACAATGGGCAAAATTTTTAGCCTGATCTTTGGAAATTCATATAACTGCTCAGGAACTAGCAAAATCCACATTCACCCCAAGCAACCTAGATTGTGGAGGAGGCTAATTGCTCCCCATTACTGGCCATATTTCTATTACTACAGCCTGATTGTTTCTCCTTTCTTGGTTGATTCTAATAGATCCCCTTAAGTCCCTACCTTGTTTGCAACTGGCCATTCTGTAATTAGTGGGCTAGAAAGAGTCACAGCAGATGAATGACCAGAGTAAAAGTGTGGTTTTGGATTTACTTCTCAATGATATTTGGTCGGTGAGGCTTTATTTTGAGTGTCAATGATGGCTAAGGTCACAGATGGCAGCACAAGTCATCAATGATTAATTGACCTTTGTGAAGAAGGGTCTACTTTGCATTTGTTCTGTAGCAAATCTCATGTGTTCCCATAAATAGGACCCTAATCCTCCTATCAGGATATAAAGAAATCCTAACTGAGGTTTAGTTCTTAGTTGGAAATGAAAACTGTGTTGTTATATATTCATCTGGAGCTGATAAGTATAATGAAGGTACATGACCTTAATTCTACCTTACCTCTCAAAAAATAAACAGAAGCCAACAGAATCTTAATTAATTTTTGAATCCCTCTTTTTGCCTTAGTAACTATTTCTCTATATTGATCCTTGTCGCTGAGTGTAATTCTGAAAATACCATGTGCTGATAAAAGTCTTAAAGGAGAATAAATATTTAGGCTTGAATCAGTCTAAATGTCAAAATAGGTCACTATGTTAGCCTTAAGCTAATTTCCTCTCACCTAAGACATAGAAATCTGAAGAATTAAATAATATAAAGCCATCAGGTACAAGGGACCTAGTCCTTCAAAGTATAAGTGACTGTATTCTCATCCTTAAGCAAAGAATAGAACAGATAATCATACCTTTATTGTCTCTTGTCAGTTTGTCAGCCATATCCCAGTGTTCATAGCCCCGAAGCACATTACTGGTAATATTGACATGGCTAGCAGCCATGTGGTGGATTCTCTGGGGGATGGTGACAGGACCGTTGTTACAATTCCCAATTGCATTGATGGGAGAGACATTGTTTAGAGATACTGGGGATGGAGTATTCCTGGAGAACGGAAAGAGACAGGACAAGTTAGATAGGCAGGGAAGAGTACAAGCAGGATTTTGGAGATATACAGCATGGAGGATCTCTTGTCACAGTGGAGTCTCTTCAGAATACCACTAGCCAGAGCAAAGTTTAATGTGATAAAGATTCACAAAGCTTCAATTAATGGGTCACATCTCAGTGGCTCTTCTGAGACAAGATCCTATAGCTCTGATCAACATTATAGCTTTATTCGGAGGCTCTAGTGTAGGGGGACCATAATGACACATCAGATCTTAAACCCTTTGACTAACCCACCGAGAGCTATAGTGCTGTTCCTAGAATAAATAACCTATGTTCATTTTCTAACCAGAAACACTTAAGGTCACACTGTCTCTAACAACTAGACAGCCCTCTATGTACACTGCTGTTTTTGTTTTAAAACTGGGAGAGGAAGAGGAAAAGGAATACAGAGAGGGGGATGGAAAGAGTTAGTTGGGTGAATTTTTCTCTAACATTAATACTACCTACAAATGTAGCTCTGACTTTGAATATATATGACATGTTACAGTGTTTCAGAGAAAGAAACAGCTCAAAGCTGTGATGCTTACTCTACTTCTTCAGAATGGCTACTGGCAGTTAGAAAACATGATGTGCAATATTGGCTTTTCTTCAAAGTGTTTTGCGGAAACCACAGTGATAGTTCATCACAAATACAGTTGCCATAATAAGTCAATTGTACATTGTAAAAGCCCCTCAATGTGTAGCGTTGGAGAAGCTAGAAAGAAAAGTAAGACTTTGAATATCTGTTTAGGACTTTCTAAGATGTGTAAAGGAGATGAGTTGTTTGTTGGTGATTGTTTACCTTCATGCTGGTTTATAAAGAGGAGTCTTCAAAGTTCTTACTTTTGACAGTTCCAGTGTTTGGACACATTTTTTGGTGAATTCTTTAACATCAGTACCATCGTTGCCTGTTGGCTACATGTATCATGGAGGTAATTTTTTTCAGGATCTGAGCTTAGGATACTCTTGTAGGCTTGCTTAAAGACACGCCTGAATGCATGAGCAGTCTCCTGTGCATGGCAGCAAGATCTATGCACCATTCATAGGGAGCCTTTCTTCAGCCAATCTTTGAGAAACTTCCTAAACAGATGTATCCACTTGGGCAGGACATTTTGAAGGAGTGAAAGAAATGGGCAGTACTATGTGGTAACATATTACCATAGTTGCAAATACCTGAGAGGCTCAGATGTGAGCATTGTTGAGGACAGGCATTTGAAACTAACTAACCTAGGCAACAATGCCAGATAAAGTACAATGGAAAAAAGAAAGCATCTTCAATAAATGGTGTGGCATAACTGGATGTCAACATATAGAAGATTGCAAATAGATCCATATCTATCACCATGCACAAAACTCAAGTCCAAGTGCTGAGAACAAGGTATATTATTTTGTGTTAGGGTGGAATGCCCTGTAGATATCTATTAAGTCCATTTGAGTCATAACATCTGTTAGATCCCTTATTTCTCTGTTAAGTTTCTGTCTGGCAGATCTGTCCATTGGTGAGAGTGGGGTGGTGAAGTCTCCCACTACTAGGGTCTGTGCTTTGATGTGTGGTTTAAATTTAGTAACGTTTCTTTTACATATGTGGGTGCCCTTGTTTTGGGGGCATAAATGTTCAGAATTGAAACTTCATGTTGGTGGATTTTTCCTGTGATGATTATGTTATGTCCTTCCTGATATCTTTTGATTGATTTTAGTATGAAGTCTATTTTGTTAGATATTAGGATAGCTACACCAGCTTGCTTAAGTCCATTTGATTAGAAAGTCTTTTCACGACTTTTTACTCTGAGGTATTATCTGTCTTTGAAGTTGAGGTGTGTTTCTTGTATGCAGCAGAAGGATGGATTCTGTTTTTGTTTCCATTCTTTTAGCCTGTGTCTTTTTATAGACAAATTGAGTCCATTGGTATTAAGGTATATTAATGAACAGTGATTGTTAATTCCTGTTACCTTTTGGTGGTAGTATGTGTGTATTTCCCTTCTTTGGGATTTGCTGCTGTCGGGTTATCTTTTGCCTGTGTTTTTGTGGGTGCATCTAATTTCTTTAGGTTATACTGAACGTGATAGAAGAGAAAGTAGGAAGTAGTCTTGAACACATTGGCACAGGAGACCACTTCCTAAATGCAACACCAGTAGAACAGACACTAAAAGCAACAATTAATAATTGAGACCTCCTGAAACTATGAAGCTTCTGTAAGGCAAAGGACACTGTACATAAGACAAAATGACAGCCTACAGAATGGGAAAAAAATCTTCCCCAACCCCACATCTTATAGAGGGCTGATATCCAAAATATATAAAGAATTCAAGAAATTAGACATCAAAATATGAAACAATTCAATTAAAAATGGGCTACAGAGATAAACAGAATTTTTAGCAGAATAATCTCAAGTGGCTGAAAGACATTTAAGGAATTGCTCAACATCCTTAATCGTCAGGGAATTGCAAATCAAAACAACTCTTACACCTGTCAGAAAGGCTAAGATCAAAAACACTGAAGACAACTTATGTTGGAGAGGATGTGGAGCAAGAGGAACACTCCTCCACTGGTGGTGGGAATACATACACTTTGGAAATCAGTATAGCAGTTTCTCAGAAAATTTGGAATCAATCTTCCTCAAGACCTAGCTATACCACTCTTGGGCATATACCCAAGGAAATTTCAATCACACCACAAGGACACATGCCCAACTATGTTCATAGCAGCATTATTCATAAAAGCCAGAACCTGGAAGCAACCTAGATGCTCCTCAAGTGAAGAATGGATAAAGAAAATGTGGTGCATATATACAATGGAGAACTACTCAGCATTAAAAAACAATGAAAGCATGAAATTTGCAGGCAAATGGGTGGAACTATTAAATATCACCCTGAGTGAGGTAACCCAGACTCAGAAGGACAAAAATGGTATGTACCCACTCATAAGTGGATACTAGAAGTAAAGCAAAGGATAATCAGACTAAAACTCACAGCTCCAGAGAAGCTAGCTAACAAGGAAGACCCTAAGATGGATGCATGGATCACCCTGGAAGGGGAAATAGATGAGACCTCCATGAGTAAACTGGGGATAAAGGATGGGCATTGGAGGGTGGGGGATGAGAGATGAGAACATGAGGGAACAAGATGGTCGAGCTGGAGTGGGGACAGTGTGGGAGAGCAGTGAGGGAGACACCATGATGGGGGGGAGACATCATGGGGATGGGGAGAGGCCGTGTGCTGGGGAAGTTCCCAGGAATTCATAAGGATGACCTCAGCTTAGACTACCAGCAGTAATGGAGAAGGTGCCTGAACTGGCTTACCCCAATAATCAGATAAGTGAGTACCGTAACTGGCACAGCCATAACTGAATGGAATAGCAGAAGTCATAATGCCAGCACAGCAGTTTGACAAAGATCCAGCAAAGCTGAGACACATGATGGCTGCCATATCGCCTTTGGTTTTCATCTCTACCTGTTGCATACTTGGGGCGTTTTTTTTTTGTTTGTTTGTTTGTTTGTTTTGTTTTGTTTTTGTTTTTGTTTTTCAAGACAGGGTTTCTCTGTATAGTTTTGTGCCTTTCCTGGAACTCGCTTTGGAGAGCAGGCTGGCCTCAAACTCACAAAGATCTGCCTGCCTCTGCCTTCCGAGTGCTGGGGCACTTTTAATATTTGTACAACTTGGGGGTGTTGGATTGATGGAAAATTCCTTATGAATTATTTATCCCTTCTCCCAGGAATGCTGCTTCTAAGATCACCCAGGAAAGTCCTGAACTATCCCCCCAAACTTTGAGGGAAATATCCTTATCTACTTGAAGGTCTTCTTTATGCGTTGGAGGTTGTGACACATAAAGAAGCCAGAGGTCTCTTTATGAAGCTATGAGACATTCTTGAAATATCTGTCCCTGTACTTACACAGGAACAAGATATTCAAAACAAAGTAATATTAAAAGGTCAACAAGATTCAGTGGGCTAGAGGAGTCAGCCACAGGTCAGATTACAAGGCTCTTCCCACTGTACACTCCGATAATTACGTGGCATACAACTCTGCTCTACATAGAGACATATTGATAAGCAAAGTTTGGAGTGAGTGCAAAGATGATGAAAGTATGAGATGTTAAGACCTCCCTCTCTTAGAAGTTAGCTCATGTAGAGCCACTAAAAAGTCATATGACCAAGAAACAACAGAATGCCAGGATTAGACATATATTCTATAAAGATATAAATGTGAACATTGATTGTATTATGCCAGAAATTGAATAATAACTGCAGCAGCTTTAGTCTGAGGATTTCTCCTGGGCATTCTGACCACTAAGAGTTAATAATACACTGCTTGAGCCATGGCAAAATACCCAGGGTGATTGAAGATTTTTGTTTTGGTCTAGTGTCCTTGAAGCAACCAAAGCAACCAGCCTGAGCACAGGCTGTCATATGCCTCTAGATTCTCAAAAATTGGGTTATGGGGTTTATGAGTAAGAATGATAACTCTGTTTATTATTGATGTCAAAACTTGAGGGAAATGGAAATGATAACTCTGTTCTGTCATAGTTTATTAATGATGACTAAAAAATGAGCAAAAGGAAGGGAAACGCAAGTCCAAAAACAAGAATGATATGATCTATGTTTTGGAACATCATGCATGTATCCCTGCTAACTAAATTCTGTATAAACAAAGAAACACTCTGGCTGCTACTCAGTCAGACTGCAAGATTCTCCTGACCACTATGGCCTGGTTCACTTCCTTCCACACTAACTCCTTATATCCTCTGCAGGACCCATCCACCACCAGGAATGTCTCCCAGCACCTAAATGTCATCATAGAGCCTTCATCCCATAACTGATGGAAGCAGATGCAGAGATCCACAGACAAGTACCAGGCAGAGCTCCAGGAGTGCAGTGGAAGAGAGAGAAGAGGGATTCTGTGAGCAAGGGGCATCAAGATCATGATGGGGAAACCTACAGAGACAACCAAACCAAACTAGGG